TTCAAGTCTGGCAGGCTCATTCCTCAGTGCCAACCATGAGTAGCTCAAGTAATTCAAGTCTGGCAGGCTTGGGTGTTCAGGCAACCTTTTCTCGGTCTGGCAGGCTTGGGTGTTCAGGCACCCATGAGTAGGTAAAGTGGTTCAAGTTTGGCAGGCTTGGGTGTTCAGGCAATCTTTTCTCGGTCTGGCAGGTTTGGGTGTTCAGGCAACTTCTGATTCAAAGCGCCAAGCATGAGTAGGTAAAGTGTTTCAAGTTTGGCAGGCTTGGGTGTTCAGGCAATCTTTTCTCGGTCTGGCAGGCTTGGGTGTTCAAAGCGCCAAGCATGAGTAGGTAAAGTGCTTCAAGTTTGGCAGGCTTGGGTGTTCAGGCAATCATTCAAAGCGCCGACCATGAGTAGGTAGAGTCGTTCAAGTTTGGCAGGCTTGGGTGTTCAGGCAATCTTTTGCCGGTCTGGTAGGTTTGGGTGTTCAGGCAATCATTCAAAGCGCCAACCATGAGTAGGTAACGTGTTTCACGTTTGGCAAAAACCTTGGGTGTTCAGGCAATCTTTTCTCGGTCTTGCAGGTTTTGGTGGCTTGCTCGGTCAGGCAAGTTTGGGTGTTCAGGCAATCATTTCAAATCAATTGCTTGGGTGATTGATGCAAATAAACTGTTCCTCCATCATGAACTTGCCTAGTCGGGTGCTTAACCAACGCACTATGCTGTGTGAGACCGGGTTGAAATCTGCGATGTGTTTAAAATATCCGGGTGATCAGAAGACAAGGAAGACCCTTGCTGTAGCAGGGTTAGGGTTCACTGCATGTGGAAATGAAACTTGTTTGGTTGATTGAAGCCAGGTGTTGATGCGTTCTCTGGTTTTTTTCCCTAGGAACACCTATGAAACCGTTGAGCCGGCCTTGCTGAACCAGTATGAGAGGTTGGGGTATCCTGGCAGGAACAAGGGGTTCTTGGAGATTGTGAAGGGTGTGGAAATCGAGCTCAGCCGGAACTTGACATTCACCATCACAAAGTCTGGGCAAGGACTGATCCTTCAGTTTGACACCCGGGCAGTTTTGCTGCCAACCAGCAGGAAGTGGCAGGAGAATGCGCATATTCACCCGGTCTCCAAAGTGCCATACGTGTCTGATGGGCAAATTTCCCAGCCATGCATTTGCTTTTTCCAGAACCCTGTGGATTACATGAAGAAGCCAGGCATGGGGGCAGAGGCGCTTCCGGGTCAAGAAATGACTGTGGACCTCGTCGGCTTTGACGGCCCCGCCTCGACAAGCCGCTGCGCCAACCGCAGGTGCTTTGCTGGGAGGAATGGTGGCACAGATTGGAGGTCGCGGGCTCAAATCGAGCAGCCCGCTCAGTCGGACTGTCCAGCAACCCCGAATCTCCGACATCATCTTGTTTAAGAGTTGCTGCTGCATTTCGAATTTGGTGAAGGGGTTCCTGCGCAGAAGCAACATATGAGAAAGTGCCGAAATTGCAGGTGTGTCTTTTTTCAAGGTACCCACCCCTGTTGGTTGGTTTGAAAGGGACACCAAAGGGAAACCAACCTTTCTTTGGCCCCCTTTCAACAGGCAAAGCTCATGTGCTGCGAGCGCCCCCAAACATAATTGACCCGCCCATCGGCCCCTCAGCTACCCTACTGCCATGGAACTTGGACTTCTCGGTCAACACTCCAATATTGTTTCAAGGATTTCCCAACCCTCAAAGAAGGTGCAAACTTTGACGTTTGGTTCCCGAATTAGCAACTATCTGTTGTTTTTGAACCTCCGAGACTGTCGCACTGAGTCAAATGCTTGGAGAAGTTGCTTCTTTTGTGGTGGTTTTGATGAGGGGTGATTTCTTGCCGACCAGAAAAGTCTTTGACGGTTTGTTTGACTTGCAACACGTAACCAACGAAGTGTCCATGATAGCTACTGACCACGTCACGAAAAAAAGGTCCACCCCAACACTTGGGGTGGACGTTTTCACTCGGAGCTTTTGCCAGTGCCAGACGTATCTGACATTTTGATCTGTTTTAGATGTTTGGGCCACGCCTTGAAAACAATTGTTTAGGGAATCACATGTCAATGAGTCAAATGTCATGAGTAGATTTCATTCGGGAGCTATTGAATGGAAACCCCCAGTTCCTCACCCTTCCCGCGTTGGAGCGCCGTTGGTTGAGACAAAGATTCGACTAGCCCCGTTGCTTTGCAAAGATCCCCAGAACCGAAGTGACGCCAGTGAAACTGTTTTGCTTTGTTCAAGCTGCCGGCCTTCAATTCTACCTTTGACAATTTGACGACTACCGAATTGTCTTGGAAATCATCAAGGTTCTTTGCTCACTCAGCAAAGGCTTAGATTGAAAAGGAGTCAGAGCCTGTGTGTGTTGAGACTGGAGGGTTATCATCGCCCATTGGGGGCGCCCTAACGAAACTAAGTCAGAAACCAACAGTCTGGGGAGCATTAGACTAGAACGAGGGTTACCTGACCTTGTTTTGGACCAGCTCCGAATCCAGGCATCACAATTTTATCACATGACCCCTCCTAGGCGAAGAAGTATAAAGTTTTGAAAACCCAAAGAAATACTGTTTGGGTGATTCTTGATTTATTAGTGATGCTGGGGTATTCAGCTGCTGCGTGAAAGGTCGCCCGGCTTTGTCAGACCCCCGCACTGATTAAGTGATTCTTCTTGTAACAAACACATTTGTTTTGTTGGGCTACCGTCTTTGCCATTTTGTGGGGTCCTCGGCAAAGGGAACGCCAACTACCTTCCCAAACAAGTTCCACAGGCAGGGAATAATTATGATCATTTTTCTTGGCTTTGACCCTCAGAAATTAGCAAGTCATACATGGCCTGACGGTAAGGGGTGTGCCATCGCGTTTGGAAAACGAAACCTTCTACCTTTTTCATATGACTTTTGGCTTGGGAAAACTCAACACGCATGAGGGTAAAGCTCGGCGCTGAGGCGCTACCCCCGCATTGGCTTCAGACGTGTCTGATTTGATTTGCCGATGCGGGGAGTCAAGGGCCACATGCGGAGACTGCAACGAGGGCTTCCTCACCATGATTCAGTCAGGGAGGCTGCCGCATTTGCGCGCCTGACCTTTGTTTAACCCGACTGTTTATTTTTTGCGTTTAATTTTTGTTGGGGTTTGTCAATTGGGAAATGAGGAAACCCGTCATTGGCCCCGCAATCCGTCAACGTGGCCGCGTTGCCTGAATTATCCGAGGCCAATCAGCAGCTGCACCGTCCAAGACTCCAACCCCGCCGGCTTCGCCTAAGATCGACTTGCCATCCGACTCATCAGACGAGGCCGACGCTTCGGAACAGGTCCTTGGCGGGTTTGCCTTGAAGAAGGAAGTTGATAAGTGGATGGTGTGGAAAGTGGATCAGCCGGAAAACAAGGTTTGGCTCCAGGGCAAAGCCGATGATTGGAAGTTGCATCAGGTGGCCGTTTCTCATCTTCCAAGTGAGAAGCAACTGTTTTGTCACTCTAAAATTGTTTTCAAATTGAGTACGACATTCATTTCCTGATTGATTGTCTGACTAAGGCTTCTGCTCCCAAACATGCTGGTGAAGTTTTTGCTGCCAGTGAGAGTAAGGCTGCGAAGTCTGTTTGGGTGGCCAAGCTCCAGGCTTTCAATGCTGCAGCAAAGGCTGCGCCGACAACCCTGCCCAAGCCAGAAGATCAAGGTCAGGGCCAGGGTGCTGAGGTAAAAAAACCAGAGGCGGGGGGCCAACCCGAACCCAAAGCCCAAAGCTCCGCCAACGCAAACCCCCCTCCCCCGGCCCCCTCCCCTCCCCGCCCCTCCCCCCTCCCACCCCTTTTCCCCCTTTCCTCCCTCCCCTTTTCGGCCCCTGTTCCAAGTACTTTGGCTAGAATGCTGTTCTAGGATTGCAATGGTCGGCCAGTGGTCAATCAGCCAATCAGTTTCAAATCTTCCAGCCCAAGCGTCAACCAAGAGAAGGGGCTGCTACTTGACTTCAAGCTTGAAGCTGCTTTTTTCACGCACACACACACACACACTCACAAGAGGTTTCCAAGTACTACTTTGATTCATGTACGCTTGGCGCCCTCAAAAAGTTGTCTTTACAAAGTCTCATTACGATCTAGAATTGCATGGTCCAATCCAATTCTGCACTGAAATTCTGTTGGCAACGTCAGTCAACAAGGTTGAATGGATGCGAGGAAAAAGTGACCCACTTTGGCGTTGGCATAAATCAGCTTCTGGCACTGACAGATTCATCCAAGCGACTCAAACATCATCCTGCCCGCTCAGGCTCTACCCCTCTTTGCCGTCGATGGTCCTCGGCTTTTGAAAGAGAACCTCTGCTAGATTCGGGCGCGCAATGAATCTAAAGCCTTCTGAATAGCAGACATTGCTTCGATCAATCATTGATTGGTGCTGAAGGAACTTGAGCAAGCACGCCCTGGCGCCTGCTGCGGAAATCACGAAGAGCAAGAAGACTGTCTTTGGGGTGACAGCCCTATACTCAGTTTTGACAACAGTAACAGTCATCACGAAGAACAATAAGGAGCCAAACGTTAGATGAGGATTGCGTTGCCGTGGCAGTATTCCCGTCACCCGGTCGAATCATCGAAGCGCTGTTGCCAAGGCTCAGTTGAAGCGCGCTCCTCTCGGCTTGGACCGGTTCCTTACTGAGCAGGAAGCTGTACTCAGAATGGGGGAGCCTTTGCCAGTGCTTCCCACGTGTGTGATAGACAGGCCTCTCCTCTGCGCAGTTGCTTGGCCGCTTCAGCACATGGCGAATGTCTAAAAGGGTTTTATGCGATTCAAATTTGAATTGGGGCTAGGTCCTTCAACTGTTACCTCACTGAATGATTGAGCAAGGTGGCAGACGAAGATTATCTCCCACACAAGGCCATGCACGTGCTTCAAACAATGAGCGCAAGACTTTTCTTGGAAGCCGAAAGCTTACACTGCCTCTGGAACCTAACAAAGCTTGCGATCAAACGCAGCAACTTGCAGCCGGCTCTGCTGAAACGACAAGTCTTGACGCAGGCGGATCATGGGCCTTTCGGCGGAGGCACGAATCAAAACACCAAGGTCGAGGCGTGCGCCTTGTGGGTGAAGCGGATGACGGAGACCGAGTTTTTGAACATTCAAGAGCAAATGATGTATGACCGGTCAGTGTTGCTAGACGAGGATCGTGCGCACTGCGAGCACGATATTCCACAGTGCGCTGAAGAACTAATGCAACAAGCGGCCATTACCACGCGCAGCATCTTTGCCCAGGGCTAAGTGATGCGCGCATTCTCAAGCTGAAAGGTTGATATTTGAACTCCGAACATTGCTCTGATCCAAGGCGCGGTACAAGAGCTGGTTCCAATCTTTGATTGCGCTTTGGGTTTTGAACAAGAACTGGACTTTGAATGGCGAGCTGTACCACTTTATGATCCAACATGGGCAACTGGACCCTGAAGACAACTGGGCTGCAACTCGCGTCTCTTCGCTTGATGGTGCGGTCATATCTTTGCAACTTTGTCTTTCTCATTTGGGGAAGTATGTTGCAATGCGATTTGAGACGAAACACTCATGAATGAGGGCAAATACGTAAAAAGGGTCGACCTGTACTATCGCCAAGGCTCAGGTTCATGACCGTCCAGACAATGAGGAGGATGGCGACGCTGAGCAAGAGAGCAGCGCCCGTCGGCGTAATCAGCCTCAAACACGGGAGGAGATGTTGAAGCTGAGGGCTGAGTTTCAGAACAGCATCCACTTGTCAGCGCATTTCTATGAAGACCCCGATTTGCAGCTGCAATTTCGGATTTTGTATCTGGGGGCAAGACCGACAATCGACTTGTTCAAATGCGCCATCATGGTGGTCAGGAGCAATGGGCTTCATAAAAAAGCTTGAGGCTTGTTTCATTGGCTCACCCCCTTATGTTGCCCCCTTCAGGAAACAGTTCTACCTTGGGTTGCTGCTCGATCGAGCGGCCACCTGTGGCTTGATGCTGCAATCAAGACTCTGGCCAGCATCCACAGTCCTGCAAACAAGTTGCAGAGTTTGGAATGGGCTTCGCAAACATCTTCGCAAAGACCAAGAGGCGGTCCTGAGCCAGCATTGCACATATTGCGTTGAGTTGGCAGCGGGGCTGTGCTGGGCGCACATTCTGTATGCGTTTGGAATTCCAAACAAGCTCGCGGTGATTTTTCATGAGGAGCAGGAACAAAGGGTGCGCGGGCTGAGGCTCATGCAAAAGATTTGGGATGCCGTTGCAGAAGCGGAAAAAATCGTTACTGGACAGCAGGAAGCAACAGCTTCAGTCCGAGCCTCGCTCAAACAATGCTTGAAGGACATGAGCTGGAATGTAACACAGGTCGCTCGAGAAGTGCTCAGTGTTTGTTCCAGCGGAGGGTGGAGTCCAGACAATGAGGAAATTCGAAAGTTGGGCTTCGCAATGTGGGGCCGGCCTGCCAGCACAAAGCACCATCTCGAAGATGTCTTTAGTCATTTGAGCGCAGTTTCCAAGAGACAAAACAAGAACCTTGTCATGAACAGGCTGGGCTTGCTCAAGAAACAGGGCAACCAACCTGACAATTTTGAACTGAATTGTTGGCATCCTTACGGGGGTGACATGGCCATCTTTCGAGAAAACCCGTGATTTGCCATTGAACTTGTTAAACAAGACTGCCTGCCCGTTCAAGGTGGCAGAAGTTCTTCTATATGACGACTTGCCCAACTTTGCGGGAGGCTAGTTGGCCAACTGTGAGCACGAAACTGCAGGATTTGAGGGCAGCGTCCCAACAGGTGGCCAAACAGGGGCGTCAGTGGGGAAGGTCTTTCACAACAGCGTCTCACCCTTTGCCACCTGAAATAGAAGTGACGGACGACCTTCTGAAGAAAGTCTTCAAAGCAGCCGGCCCGACTGCAAACCAACGATCCGCAGCAGCTACAGCCTGGATTCTCTTCAACCACAGCTCGAAGTTCGTGCACTGCCCAGCTGCCTGGCAAGGCGTGGCAGAGTGACATCATGAGTCGGTTTCAGTTCAGCATGGCGCAAGTTCTGCTTTGCCCCGTCATGAGCATATTATGGTTGGCTGGTTGGTCTATTAAAGCTGCCCCTCGAAAAGTTTAAGAAAACCAGCCGGCCAGGAGCCTTCTTCTTGAAAGGGCAGATTTACCAGCACCAACACGGTGATGCCACGGTGATTTCGCTGGGGTTCAGAACTTGGGCTGGTCTTGGAGTCCGGCTCGAGCGTCATGAGGTTGACGGAAAAGCTTCTTGGCGTTGTCTTACAGCCAACATGTGAAGACGCCATGTTCCCAGTTAACTTGGTTGGGTTGCATCTCTTCAGCCTGAGCGGCTGAGCAAGCTGGCTGTGGCTGGTTTTGAGGGTGCTCTGTTTTGGGGGCTTTGTTTGGAAGCCACAAGGAAACCGCTATTCTTGGGGGGGGGGGTCCCTTAAAAGTCACCCATTGTTGGTGAGATCAGAACCGAGAACTTCCAAATGGGGTCAGGATGGGTATCGTCACTTCGGTCATGCCGAGTTTGAGTTTCACTTGAAGAGGCGGGCAAATCCGAAATATCTTTTTTGGGGCCTTCCCTTTCACAAGTTCAACGGCTGTGTTTTCTGAAAATAGATTTGATTCCATGGTCCACGAAGGGAATAAACAAATAATTAAATAAAGAAGTATTTGTCCCTATTGCGCCGGGGAAAAATCAACCACTGTGAAGTTTCGGTTCAATTGAACCCTTTCAATCAGTGGCTTCGTGCTGAGCTGGCGCTGAAATCGGCC